TGTTCCCTATTTTACCGGAGTCAGCCGCCTACACGACATTGTTGAAACATTGGATGCGCATTTCGAACCAAAAAAGTGGGTATATGTGGAACGTCAGAAATTTTATTCTGCAAATAAGGATTCCCACGAATCTATGTCAGATTATGCTGCGCGCATACGTGGCTTAGCATCGACGTGCCAGTTTGGTGTTTCATTGGAAATGTGCATGACTGACCGTTTCGTCCTCAGTGTGGATTCCGCGGTCGTACGAGAGAAGCTTTTCCGGGAGGACCCGGGGCAGCTTAAATTGACGCGAGCTGTGGAGATAGCGGGAGCCGTAGAGAGCACGCAACAGATCGCTTGTTCGGAGCTGGCAGCACTCAACGTTAAATCAGAGGGCATGCTATATTCGGCAGAGCGGCCAGGTCCGCCCCGCGCGCCTGCCGGCGGCAGGTCAGCCGGCAACGGGACCGGTGGCGGTGGCAGTAGCAGCGGCAGCGGAGGCCGCGCAAGCGGCGCGATCCCACGCTGCGCCGTCTGCGGCGCTAAGTCGCATGTGTCTTCTGAGTGCGGTTATCGTAATTTATCATGTGATAATTGTGGCATTAAAGGACACCTCAAACGTGTGTGTACTTCAAAAAATGTACGTGTGATAAACCACAATAGTAAATCACGTGGAAATAAACGGAGTGAATGGCGAAGTAATTTCATTAGTGAAGGTGCCAACGACAGCGAAGTTAGTGACGATTGTGTGTTATTAAATAATATTAGGTGTTCTGAAGGCACCCCCATGGCGGTGGCAGTGACCGCAGGTGGGAGGTCGTTGAGTATGGAAGTAGATTCGGGCAGTGCGGTCTCTGCACTACCGGAGGCAGTGTGGCGCAGGTATTTTGCAAATAAGTACCCACTCGGTGAGTCTGACAAAATTTTACGTACTTATAATGGTTCACTGTTGTCACCTATTGGAATATGTGATTTATTAGTTACCTATAATAATAATTCTAATTATATTAGATTTTATGTGGTGAATAACGGCCCGGTTTCACTTCTTGGTAGAGATTTTTTATATAAATTTAATTTAGAACTTGTAGCAGTAAATCACTGTTCACTGAATGCCGATAATCGTATTTTAATGAAATATAAGTCCCTTTTTTCGGACAAACTCGGCACTTTTAACAAATACAAATTGTCATTACATTTAAAAGAGGGCGCTACCCCTAAATTTTGCAAGGCTAGAACGGTGCCCTTTGCATTAAGGGATAAAGTGAGTGCAGAATTGGATAGACTCGTACAAATAGGTATTTTAAAACCCGTTTCCTACTCGAAGTACGCATCGCCGATTGTGGCCGTATTAAAAAAGAATAACGAAGTACGTATATGTGGCGATTATTCGGGTACCATAAATAAAATATTGAAAGTAGATTCATATCCATTACCAAAACTGAACGAATTGTGTATTTCATTGCACGGTTGTCGCTATTTTAGCAAGCTTGACTTGTCGCAAAGTTACAATCAGTTTTTGCTAGATCAGCAGTCTCAGGAGTATACGTGTATAAATACACATAAAGGATTATTTGTTTATACGCGACTCGTGTTTGGTTTAGCGAACGCACCAGCACTTTTTCAACGTGCTATGGTTCAGTTGTTAAATGGCATTGATGGAGTAGTGTGTTTTCTTGATGATGCGCTTATTGCAGCACCTACTCCTCAGTTACATTGGGAACGTGTGGAACAAGTACTTAATAGGTTAAGAGGCGCGGGATTGATATTACAAAAAAGCAAATGTTCATTTCTTCAGGAAAAGGTTGAATATCTAGGCTTTATAATAAATCGTGATGGTATTCATAAAAATCCAATGTCATTCATAAAAATCAAAAGTGTCAGCATGAACTGCATGTTGATAATGGACGTCTAATGCGTGGACATCGTGTAGTTGTGCCGGAGATGTACAGGCCGGCTGTCATCCAAGAACTGCACGCTGCACACTTGGGTATTATAATAATGAAATAGTTAGCTCGAGAGCGTTGTTGGTATCCGGGTATTGATCGAGACATTGAACAAGTAGTGTCTAACTGTGATCGTTGCATTTCTCTTCGATCGTCACCACCAAAAGCTACACTGGAGCCATGGGATTGGCCCTTGGCTGTTTTCGATAGAATTCATTTGGACTATCTCGGACCTTTACATAATAAAACATTTCTTTGTTTGGTCGACGCGCATAGTAAGTGGATAGAATGTTTAGACATGTCCAATATGACTTCTCAATGTTTAATTTTTAATCTAAAGAAAGTTTTTTCGAGATTCGGATTGCCCAAAACAATCGTAACAGACAATGCTACAACTTTCACGTCTGGTGAGTTTGCAAAATTTTGTAAGGTTAATGGTATTATACATATATTGACACCCGTTTATTCACCACAAAGTAACGGACTCGCCGAGAACGCGGTGCGAACGTGTAAAAAATTCATTAAAAATGCTCTAAAGGATGGTACAATTAAAAACATTAACAGTCGGCTAGATGATTATTTATTTCATTACCGAAATACGCCACACTGTACGACCGGAGTATCGCCGTCAATGCTTATGTTTAATAGGAACTTACGCTGTAAGCTCGATCTCATTTCTGTAGGACCATCAACCGATACAGCTAAGCAATCATTCGTGAATGATCGTGTGCGGTTACACCAGGGTCGACAGAGGCGTAATTTTGGTGGCAAAGGAAGGTTTTTTTCTCAGGGTGATAACGTATGGATAAGAGATTATCGATTTAACCCAAAAAAACCTGTGTGGGTTTTGGGCTCGGTTGTCAATCGTGTAGGTAAGGTTCTGTACCACGTAAACGTGAAGGGGACAGACATCGTTTGGAGGCGTCACGTAAATCAATTATTAGACGCCAAGATTAATAATCGTGCGTTAAACAGAGCTGCTTGGTCATATGAAAAGCACGAGGGCGCGACGGCTCAATGTCACGAATCGGTTCAGTCGGCTTCGTCACCTATAGCCCCGGAGTCGGGTGCGCCGGACGCGAGCGGGCCGCCTGCGCGCAGTCCCCGCACGCCGCCCGGCTCCCCGAACCGTCGGCACTCAGCGACGCCGACGATGGCTTGTATGGAACGCCTCCCAGCGATGTACCCGACGAGCGATCAACGTTACGTGTATCGTCTGTTCCCGAACTCTGCCGCACACGGTCGGGTCGAAGAGTTTACCCGCCAAAAATATTATTTCTTTGATATACAACTACAGATTATGGTGTACTATATTTCAGTATTTTTTTTGTTGTTGTTGTTACCTTTTTTTTTTTATAAACTAAAGATATAGAATCTAAATATAAGTCACGGTTATAATATTTATATAGATATTAGAGTCTAAGTTATAGGTATACTATAAATATAATATGTTGTAGTAGATTAGATACACACAGTATGGATATTAAGTTAAAAAAAAAAAAAAAAACTCTCAGGCAGTTTCCACAGTTTCGAGTTCATTATTACAAATGTTTTTACTTAAACTTAATCTTAATATTCCTGTGCATACGTAAATCATATTATAGACGGGACTTGTTTTAGAAAGTTACATGTCATTTTCTTTACTTGCTGTGTTGTGATAGGGATTAATGACCTATTTATATATATATTTGCATATTACTTACACAAATTTATGTTTTATAAGCTATCTACATATTTGTATTCTATCTGCTATTTTTCCCCTCAGTTTTAATTTAATTGTGGAGGAGATGTAATGTAGGTAATCTGTAAACCAGTTATTCGTAGGTAGTTGGAAATAAACTTGAGTTTCGACCTACAGGTGTTTATTATTGTGCTCCCGTATTTTCTAGACATTACACAGTCACGTAATAAAAGAGGACTCATAGATGGTCTCGGTTCAATAATTAAAAGTATTTCAGGTAATCTTGATTATTCTGACGCTGTGAAGTATGACGGTGCTATAAAAGCTCTTCAAAATAATGAAAATAAGTTAGAAACAGAGTTGAATGAACACATTAGTTTAGGTAAAGAATGGATATCCGATCACTCTGTAATATTAAATAACATAGTAAAAAATCAGGATGAAATAAGTAAAACTATTAACCTAATACTAAAATCAGACGCAGACAGAGATACTGACTTAATAAAGTATGCACATCTAGCTCAGTATCTATTGATGCTCACAGATAATACAGATAATTTGTCAGAAAAATTACTTAATTTAGAAAATACGTTAGCTTTTATTCAGACTAAGAGTATATCTCACTCTATAATTAATATTAATTCATTAAATAATATGCTAATTAAACTTAGACAACTTTATTCTAAGGAAAAGGTTATAGATATAGAATTAAGGGAATATTTTTACATTATAAAATCGGGTTCATATTATGTAGGAAATAAAATAGATATAGTTATTAAGGTGCCGATTGTCTCTCCTAATACCTATATCCTGTATAAACTATCAATCATACCAAACCAACATAATCAAATACTTATACCTACCCAACCCTTCATAGCAATTCAGAGAACAGGTACTATGTATATAGCGATAATGTTCCTTTATTTAAATAAAAGTCACTCACTATCTTCAACGTATATTGTAAGAATATTTTACAAGGGAAAGCGACAGTTCAGACAAGCACAATACAGTTTATAATAAGGTATAGAAAACACAAAGATAGACACTACAAAGAAAGAATAATTAGGCGTAAGCTAAGCACTAGAAATTTATAAGAGCGAGCGCGGGTTAGGCAGTTAACGTATGAACGATGACTGCCGTGCTCACAGCTATGCAGCCGGAGCGCAGCGGCCGGCGGCTACGCATGATTGCTTACGGACACGGCTAACGGTATTTAACCGGTTGCGGCAGGTAATGTGTGTAGTGTGTTTGAGTATGGAATATATGGCTATAAAATAAATACAATTAATTATAATGTTGTGTGTAACTGTATAGTGTGGATGTTGATACATACAATATATAAATACAATAAATAAGTGTATGTGTGCCACAAATACTCCCTTGCCGAGACCGATTCACGGGCGATAGTAATTTGGAAAACGGACTATCCTACCACTTCGTGTAGTTTTTGGCTGCGGCTCGTCAGAGGAAGATGGGAGTTGCGTTGTTGGACATGTAGATGTAGGCATCTCCTTATCTTCTTTCGCCATGTACGCTGCCTTCAGTCTATCAATGGTCACTGTTGTTTCTTTACCTAGTATGTCGAGTGTGAAGGTTTTGAGATCTCTTTTCAGTACTTTGTAGGGTCCCGTATACGGCGATTTAAGAGCTCGTTTTGCTGGACCTCTCCGTAGGAATACGTATTCGGATGTGAAGATGTCATTTTGTACATAAAATGTTTTCCTGTTGTGACATGTTCCTGGCGTTGGCGATAAGTTGGCAATGTGTCTATGGAGGCGAGCTACAAAGTCTGTCGGATCTATCGTCGTACACATTGTTGGATGTAGGAACTCGCCTGGTAACCTCAGAGGCTCTCCATAGACGAGTTCAGTAGCTGATGACTTCAGGTCCTCTTTGCAGGCACTGCGGATACCCAACATGACAAACGGCAGTACCTCTGTCCATTGTGGGTTTGCGTGGCACATGATGGCGGCCTTCAGCTGTCGGTGTAACCTCTCCACCATACCGTTGGCTTGGGGATGGTAAGCCGTAGTTGGACCAATTAAATCCAGGTGGACATGGGAAAATCATTCGGAAGGAATAGGGAAGGTGGAGAAAGGAGAGGAAGAATAACGGGTTATTTTGTTACGTTGGCAATCTGTGCATTGTTGTGCCCACGTTCTGCACTCTCTTCTCACTCCGGGCCATACATACTTCTGAGCAATTAATTTCGCTGTAGCTGCTGCACCAGGATGACTCAGGTCGTGTATACTGTGGAAAATTTGTTTTCTGAACGCTGATGGTATGTATGGTGTTGCGGGTGAATAATAAGATGTTGCTGGTCGAGACGATGTATATTACAGATGATGATAAACTGACAATATGTACATAGAAATAATGATCTTATATACTAAATAAAAATAGGAAAATGTAAGGTGGGGTGACACAGTTTAGATACAGCAGTGCCTAGTAGTCAATATTGAATTTGTCTTACTAGACATTATTAAATGCAATTATTATTTTATGTATCTAGGTGACTGTGTCCCATAGATATTCCCCCTTGAGAGAAAAAAATATATATATTACACAAAAAAAATATTACACACAAAACAAATTCCGTGTAACTAAAACCTTATCCTTTAGATTAATGCTAGATTCTAATTTTTCTAATAAGTCATAACCAATGGCCGTCAAAATAATCATGAAATTTATAGATAAATAGAGTAATATCTTCATTCTCTTTAAATTCTTGAAAGCACGGTAAAGTTAAGGAATAATAATTTTTCGTGGTTGCATGAATGTTTGTTACCTCAAAAGGATCATAATTACATGGTATATGCTGAAAGAACTTATCTACTGCCTTGGGGCTTATGAAAGACTGATTGGCACCGGTATCAATGAGTAGTTTAAGGGGCGGATATAATATCTGAATATACGGTAATTGTCGCTGTGTCTGTAAGTTTATCTCTATTTTAGTTTTCCTGATTTCTGAATATAATTATACTGAATAAAATTTTCATTTTCAGTAACTTCGTAATTTTCGTTTTCAGTAAATTCGTCACGAGTTTCCTCTACATACAGGGATGGATAAGTCTGTTTGTCGTTTTCTGTATAATAGTCGGGATAGTAATAGTCACTGTCAACGTTATTATATGTGTCGTAATAGTATCATTGCATATTAGCGTAATGTATTGATATAAATTGAGTGAATCATCTCACGGTTCGTATTACCTACTATCGTATCGTACTACCTACTAAGTTGACAATATAAAGCGGCCTGTTAGAATTCTTTCGCTTGGTACCTACATTCTTTTATTGTAACATCCCTAGTCAGTGAAGATAACCACTTGTTGTGATTTTAAACTGGTTTTCTGTATGCGAGAATATTGTGTTTATGGTACTTTGTATGCTCACTCTGTATTAAGTAATATTTAGGTACATTCTTGATTTGGTTGAAAATATAGTTGATTATTGATAATATAATAATAATCTTTATTATTATATTTTATTTGGCCTTTATAAATACTCGTGAGTTATATCTTTATATTTTATTAAATATTTCTTTTGTTTGTGGTAGTTAATATTTAAAATAAAGATGTCGAATCCTAGTGATGCGGTGAGAGCGTGTTTATTCAGTGAGACTGTTGAGTATCGGCAGTCAATGGGTACTGTTCGATTAATCAGTGACTGGATTACGGATGCTTATACTTTGCTGCCTTCTGCGTCACGTGATAGGCTTATCGTGCGGCTTTCTGAACTGAATTAGAACTATGCTAAATTTAATGAACCGTGTTATTGTCTCCTTGGCGGTTTGGACCCGGTGATTGATACGAAGGAGTATAAAGATACCCTAACCTTATTTTTTTTTTTTTTTAACGTGTGGAAAAATCTTCAAAAGACCGTCACCCCGCCGGAGGGATGGCGAGGTGGTGTGTGGGACTTGTACCCACTAAAAAACCACACGGTGTACCTACGAGCGCCTATGCCGGAGCCAGGGGATTCGCAAGTGCATTCTACCCCAGCTCCGACGGCGACGGCCCGCCCTGTAGATGTTGTAGGGCAGGCCCCATCTCGTTTTGTGGTTAGGGCGACCTATTTCGCCCTACTCCATTGTGGAGGCGTGTGGGTACACGCACACACCTCCGGGGCCTTTGGATTGGGGGACTGCCTCCCTCAAGGCAGTCACCCCGGCCCCAGTGGGGGATAGAGGGGGGCGGAGTTGGATACGCCCCCACCTCTAGGCCTGGCTCTTCTGCGGCGGAGGGAAGCGGGACGAGCTGACTCCCGCTCCCTTTCCGCCGCCTCCTTCCGCGAGATAACTTCCTCGCAGAAGGAGCTCACCGCCAGCCACGATCTCTCGCTACTGACCATCCTCCGAACTAAATTCGGCAGCGAGAGATCGTCCCCCACTATTCGTGTGAGGACACGGCGCTCACTCACGAACGCTGGGCATTCTTCCAGCGTGTGTTGCGCCGTGTCCTCCACACCTCCGCACTCGTGGCAGCCGGTCGTCGGCTCCTTCCTCGCCACATGACACAGATACCGCCCGAAGCAACCGTGCCCGGACAATATCTCATGCGGTATGTCAGTGGCCATCTCCTATTCATCCACCTTTTGAGGATGGGACGGACAGCCTCGACGGTCCTCAGGCCGGCCGATGGACTGGCCAGCCTTTCTCTCCACCTGATCCTGAGGATCCGCCGAAAGTCGGACCTCCGCGCTCCAATCTCCTGGCCAGCGGGTGCCTCCCCCATGGAACGTCGCTCCGCGCGCCAGTGATACACTGACGCGTGGAGCTCCGCTACCAAGTCCCACGGAGGAGACCCCGCCAGCAGACCCGCTGCTTCCCCGGATATGGTGCGGTAGCCTCTGATGGCCCTGATGGCCATGGCCCTGTGTGGCCTGTTAAGGCAGGCCACATTTTCCCTACCTAGGGCCCCCACCCAGATGGGGGCCCCGTACAGGGCCATGGACCGCACCACGCCGAGGTATAGGCGGCGGGAACCTTCTCCCGGGCCCCTCACGTTTGGCAGTAGCCAGCTAAGAGCGCCGGCGGCCTGCCATAAGGCGAGGGACCAGGTTCCGGAAATGAGCGCGGAAGCTCCAACGACTGTCCAGGTCAAGCCCCAAGTATCGAATACAGGGCTTGACCCCCACCCTCTGGCCACTGACGACCAGCTGGGCATCCGGAGGTGGCGCGCGCCGAGGCCCATGAAAACATAGGACCTCGATCTTCTCCAGCGCCACCTGGAGTCCAAGCCTCCTTATTCGGCCGACGACCAGTGCCACGCTTGCCGTGGCAAAGCGGGTAGCCTCCCGTAGGTCCCGCCCTCGGGCAGTGACCAAGGTGTCATCCGCGTAACACACGAGGTCAGTGCCCGTTAAAAGGGCGCCCCGCAGGTACAAATCATACCCGATGTTCCACAGGATCGGGCCCAGAACCGATCCCTGTGGAACACCGCGTTGCATTTCCCTCGGCACTATAACGCCGTTCCGCCCCGTGCATAGCACAGACCTGTCCTCGAGGTAGGCCCCGATCACGTCCCGAATGTAGGGAGGCGCGCGATGGTATTTCAGCGCCTCCCTAATAGTCGCAAAGGGCAGGGTGTTGAAGGCGTTCTTTATGTCCAACGAGACCGCCAACAACACCCCACCCTGGGACGTCGCCTCTTCCGAGAGGGAGCGCACACGCGAGATCGCGTCTATCGTCGAGCGCCCCTCTCGGAACCCGAACTGCTTCGGGCTGAGATCGGGACCTACCTGAGACAGGTGTTGGACGAGTCGGCCCGCCAAGATTCTCTCGAAGAGCTTGCCGATCTCGTCCAACAGCACTATGGGGCGGAACGCCGACGGAACCACCGAACCTGCAGGGTGCTCCGCTTTGCGGAGCAGGACTACTCTACCCGCTTTCCACTGATTGATAAACCGTCCCGACTCCAGACACGCGTTGAACAAGCGCCGGAGTCGGTCCCCTAGGGTGTTTAGGGGCAAGGCCAGGACGCGGCCGTGGATGCCATCCGGACCCGGGGCGACATTCTTGCCCCGGAGTTTATCCACGGCCGCGGCGAACTCCTCCTCGGTGATGGCAGGAACCGCAGCAGCGCTGACGCCGCTGGTCTCTTCATCACTGCCACGCGGCATCATCGGAGGAGGTGTGAAGGGAGGCTGTCTCGGGAACAGCTCCTCCAACACCCCCTCCAGCTGCTGCGGCTAGAGACCCTCTGCCACGGGGGTGCCCAGGGGCGTAATTTGCCCCTGACGAACCTATAAGGGCGCCCCCATGGATCCCTGTCCAGGGTCTCCAGGAGTTCTTCCCTAGCTGTCTCCTTGGCCCTGCTGATGGACAGCTGCAGAGCTTTCTTCCTCTTTTTGTACTGCTCGTACAGCTGTGCTTCCTCGTCGGCGTCGCGGCCCCGCCTGAGTCGGCGGTGCCTGGTGTACCGGCGGCGGGCGGCGGAGCACTCCTCTCTCAACGCCGCTATCTCCTCCGACCACCAGTACACCTGACGCCTAGGAGGTCGAGGGCCGGCTCGGGGCATCGCCGCGTCGCAAATATGCGACAGAGCCTCGCCGAACCAGCCCACCTCTGCGTCGACCTCCACAGGCCCCTCCGGTATGGGAACCCAGGCCTGGACGATGGAAGCCTCCATCAGCACGTCTTTATCCAGACGTTTCAACATCCATCTGGGGAGTTGTGGGACATTCCTCTCCTGGCGACCGGGGTGCGGAGCTACGGGTGAGGGGAGAACATCTATCCGAATATACCGATGATCGGATAGAGTCTCCACCTCATCCAACACCTGCCAGCTCCGCACCCTCTGTGCGATCGCTGGACTGCAGAGGGATACGTCGACATGCGACTCCCCCTGCTGTCTCACGCACGTGGCGGCCGACCCTCGGTTCAACACCACCAGGCCGGCCGCTGCCGCCCAGTCTTCCAGGACCCTGCCTCGAGAGTCGGTGATGGGGGAGCCCCAAGCCGTGGATTTGGCATTGAAGTCCCCCATCACCATCATTGGACGGG